TGGAAGTTAGAAGAGCCTTGGCCTCGCCTTTAAGCCCACCCTCTGAAAGACGCTGGTTTACCCTCTCTCCCCCGGTGCTGCATGGGGGTGACCAACCAAAGAACCCCAGAGAGGCAGTTTTGTGGACAGAAGGGTGTGTTGGGGAGGAGTTTTAGGGACATGTGAGCGGCGCTGTCACTGCCTCGGTGATGGGGAGGTTCTGGGGCGGAGCCAGAGAACAGAGGCCAGAGACCGCGCGGGGGTCACAGAAGGTGTAGGGTGCAACTTTCCAGTGAGTTCTCTTCCTGTCGCCTTGGGCGTCCCTCCTTCCCGGTCCCACTGCTGACGCTCTGTCCCTTCCCTGTACCCCCCCCTTAAGTGATCTCAGCCAGTCCTCGGGCCTCCCACGTCGTGCGTGCTCAGCGTATCAGAAAGCCTTCTGGGGGCGCCTGGGGGCTTCGTCGGTTAAGCATCCGACTTCGGCTCAGGTCATGATCTCGCAGTTCGTGGGTTCGAGCCCTGTGTCGGGCTCTGTGCTGACAGCTCAGAGCCTGGAGCTGCTTCAGATTCTGTGTCTCCCTCTCTCTCTGACCATCCCCTGCTCACGCTGTGTCTCTCTCTCTCTCAAAAATAAATAAAACATTTAAAAAAAATTTTTTTTAAAGAACAAAAGCTTTCTCATTAAAAAAAAAAAAAAAGCCTTCTGTGGGTAACAGGACTATCCGGATCTGGCAGGGAACAAACGAAATTCCTTGTTAGACCCTGCAAAGGAAAGCTGAGCGAGACCCCAGCGCCCTGCGAGCCTGCAGGCTGACCCGCAACCGCCAGGGGCCAGATGACTGCTCGTGGGTGGGGGGGCCCTCCTGGACGGAGCTCTCCTGCTACAGCAGCACCCACAGGAAGGGAGGGAGGGGTGAGGCGGGAAGCCTCAACCCTCATCAGAACCCGGATGGGAAGCCTGCCCCTGGCGGCCTCCTGGGAAGATGCGGGGGCACACAGCTCTGTGACGCGGCTCCCACGCCTCCTGCGCTCCCCGTGCTGGGAGGTCACAGGGCAGCTGTGGGGGAGCCCCGTCTACGTGGCCGATGTGCATCTGTGCAGGGCATCTGGGCATCAGCTGGAGCTGCCCTCCAGCGCCAGGCCCAAAGCCTCTGGGGTGTGTGGCACAGATTTAGTTCCCCTGTGCGTTGCACGTGGGCTGTGGCTCTGCTCCAAGGTCTTTTTCTTTTTTTAATGCTTACTTATTTTTGAGAGAGAGCGAGACCGAATGCAGAGCATGAGCGGGGAAGGGGTGTGTGGGGAAGGGCCAGAGAGAGAGAGACAGAAGGAGACACAGAATCTGAAGCAGGCTCCACTCCGAGCTGTCAGCACAGAGCCCGACACGGGGCTCAAACCCACAAACTGTGAGATCATGACCTGAGCCAGTCGGGCGCTTAACCCACTGAGCCCCCCAGGCGCCCCTCTTCTTCTTCTTCTTCTTCTTCTTCTTCTTCTTAATGTTTATTTATTTTTGAGAGAGAGAATGAGCAGGGGAGGGGCAGAGAGAGTGGGAGACAGAGGATCCGAAGTGAACTCACTGGAGTCCCAGTGTCTCTCTGGACCGGATGTGGGGCTTGAACTCAGGAACCACGAGATCACGACCTTAGCCAAAGTCAGGTGCTTAACCGACCGAGCCCCCAGGCGCCCCTGTGCCACGTGTCTTCTGCATCCATGCCCCTGGCGGGCGGTTCTCTCACGAGAGGGGACCCACCCGATGGCTCTAAAGAAGAGCTCAGAAGTGGCCCCGGCACGTCCCGCGTGGGGCCCACCTTTCGGAGTGGGGGGCGCTGCGTGATTGGCCAGCGATGTCATCTGGCTCCTCTGGTCCCTCCAAACCGGATACGGGACTGGTACCGAGCTGCCCCGGGTTCTAGACCTGGGGACTCCACCGCCTACTGCTCAGCTCCGCCTGCTGCTGCGTCCTGGGCGACTTATGAGCCACCCCAGAGTCCCGATGCCCTCTGACCCGCCTGGCTTGCTCCCATTTTGGTTGAGGTCGCCAGCTGGTGCTCAGCGGCCCCAGAGGTCACAGCGACTCCCCTTTTGCCCTTCTTGCCCTTCTATGTGCGAGATGGGGGGGGGAGGTGGTCAGAGAAGTGAATCGGGCCACTAACCTGCTCTCCGGCTCAGTCCAGACCCTGCTACGATGGTTACAGGCGTGAGTGGGGGGGGGGGGCGGGCGCAGGGATGACGGTTGGCGTGCGCCCCTCCGTTCTACCCTCGTGACCACACTGCAGCTGCATTCCGCGTGCCACTCACGGCACCTTACTTACAAATGGGGAAACCGAGACGAAACGGCTCACTAACGTCTCTCGGCCGACAGGTAAGTCGGCTCTGATTCCAGAAAGGCTGTGCTTTCCTCCCGGCCCCAGCACCTGCCCGCCCCCCCGCCCACCTGCGCTCCAGCAACCTGCTTCCTCCTGCTTCCTGTCATGTCGCTCAGGTGTCCCGGGGGCTGGGCACTCAGGCTCCCTGGGGCTCCGTCAGCCAGGCCCGTGGCAAGAGCCACGCTCAGTGTCAGGAGGAGGCCGCTGACCCCGCTACGGCGGAGGGGAGATGGGGGGACACAGAGGGGCTTGGTTACCTGGGCGCCTTGCTCTTTAAAAAGGGGTGGGGGGCGGGATCCGGACCCAAACCCAGAGTAAGTCTGGGGCTGTCTCCACAGCGACCGATGCAGTCGGCTGTTTGGTACTAAAATGAATACAGGTGACGTTGGTAGCAAGAATGCGAAGTGGCGCAGCCACAGCAATTTGGTGGTTCCTCGACATGTTGGACAGAACGGCCACACGACGAGCCGTCCCGCTCCCGGGGCCACACCCACGGGTACCGGCAGCAGGTGTCCAGGCGAGTACGTGAAGACGCCTGCTCAGCGCAGTACTGTTCCCAGCAGCTCGCGGTGACACAGCGGCCACACGGTGGAATGACTCCCATGTCCGTTCACGGATGAATGGCAGAGCCATACGCCGGGCGGTGACTCGGCCGTAAAAAAGGAACGAGGCACTGACACCCCTACGGTGTGGATGAACCTCGAAAACATGATGCGGAGTGAACGAAGCCAGGCTCCAAAATCACACGTTGTATGATTCCGTTGGCACAAAATGTCCAGAGACCTGGTGGTTGTCAGGGACCTGGGGACTTGGGGTGGGGGAGGCAGAGACAGGGGTGCTTAATCAGCACGAGGTTACCTGTTGGGGTGATGGAAACATTCTGGGACCAGGCAGAGGTGATGGCCGCACAGCGCGGAGAATGTTCTAAATGCCACTGCACTGTTGGCTTTGCAATGGTTAATTGTGTGTGATGTGAAGCTCAGCTCAATTAACATAAACGCGGGCAGGTTATAAAACAGAAAGCGGGGCGGGGGGCCTGGGGGGCTCAGTCGGTTGAGCGTCCGACCTCGGCTCAGGTCATGATCTCACGGCTTGTGGGTTCGAGCCCCGCGTCAGACTCTGAGCCGACAGCCTGGAGCGGCTTCACATTCTGTGTCTCCCTCTCTCCCTGCCCCTCCCCTGCTCGTGCTCTGTTTCTCCCTGTCTCAATAATAAATAAACATTAAAAAAATTTTTTTAATGGAATAAAACACAATTCAAATTTGCATGAATTTTTATCAAGGGCAGACTTTCCAGGAAGTGTCGCCTCCCCTCTGCAGCTGCCAGGGTTTCTCCGGGAGACGGTCTGGAAGGATGGCCCTAAGGGAGGCAGGGCTTGGGGAGGACGTATAAGCACAGAAGTACAGTGGCCGCCAAGGCTAGAGCTCCTGGGCTCGGAATACAGTGGTGAGGGAGGGAGAGCTGGGCCAAGCATTCCCGGGCCGCTCCTCCCGGCAGCCCGATGACCGGGTTCCTCTCTGCTCTTGTGGCTGCGCACACCCCGATGGACCCCCAGCTGCTTTTTGGCTTCTCCTGACCCCTCCCTGCCTTTAGGTTTCCTCTCACAGCTTCTGCCTCCTGCCTTCCCAGCTTTGGAACCCTCTGGTGAATCTGCTTGTCTCAGCGTCCATACCCCCAGAGGAAGATCTGGTGGCCTCAGTGGACCCCATCAGCCACTGCAAATGAAGGCCAGCAGGGAGACGGCTGCCTCTCGGGAGTGTTGTCTTCCTCACAGCTGACAGGTAGTGTGCCTGCTTTAACCCACAGCCCTGCTCCGAGAAACTTCTTCTTTCAGTGATGGAAAAACCATGACTCTTATTGGCCATTCCCCAGAGGGAAGTGGTCCTGCTACCTGGTTCAGAAGAGAGAACTGGTCATCTGAGCCGAGGAACAGGGGCGGGAGAGTCCCTTCACCACCCCCACAGTGGGCTTGGTGCTCCTCTTCTGTTTCCAGAAGCCTCTTCCGCCCACCCACCGCAGTGCCCTCAGGGAAGGCTGGGAAGGAGCCTTGAAATTAGCCATTTCAGCCCATTTTACAGATGAGGAAGCTGAGCCCCAGAGAGAGGGAGGTGGCTGCTGGGGGAGACAGGAGTTGACAGCAGCTGCCCCATGGGGCCCAGTTCCGCTTCGAGGACCTCGGTAGCCCGTGAACCGCAAACACCATCTAGTGACTACACCCCGCACCCCGTCTCTCAGGACCCCTCCAGCCCACGGGAGGCGATCAGGGAGGTGCTGGTCCCCCATCTACCAGACGTTCCGGTGTTCCGACACCCGGTTTTCCTAACCCTCACCCCCTCCACTCACGGAAAATTACCACCCTGCCCCCACCCTCTAGAGAAACAATCCAACCTCTCCGTCAGACACGGTCTCATTCATTCATTCATTCATCTGTCTTGTCACTCGTTCATTTTGAACTCAAACTCTTGGGAAGATTTTATTAACAGCTTTCACGCAGTCTGGGCCAACACGCCCGTTCCACCGTGGAGGGGTGGTGGTCAGGGCGTGAGCACCCACCGCCCGCACACCCCAGGCGCGGGGCCGGGCTCAGTCCTGCAGCTTGCCGGCGTACGCCTCAGCCCTGTCCAGCGGCGGCCCCCGGTTCACGGACGTGTACGCGGGCTCCGAGGTCCCCAGGGACTTGGGGACGGCCTCCTGCGTGATCTGGGAGTCGTGTGTCGTCGTTTCCCCGTCAGAACCGCCCATGTCCCTGACCGAGGGGACGAGGCAAGAGAGGGTTAGGGGTGCAGAGCAAGTCTACCCCCCTGCAGCTGGTCGGGAACCTTTCTGCTTAGACACTGCTCTTGGCAAGAGCGCTCACTGTGTGCTGGGCCCGCTCTGGAACGGTGGGAACAAACGATTTACAGACCTTGCCGTGAGCTGGACACGTGGAGGCCACTGTCCCAAATCCCCAAAGAGTTAAGATTATCCGGGAAGACAGGCCACAGGAAAGAACGACCAGACAGAAAGGACAGGAAGGCTTCCTGGAGGAGGGGACAGTTCATATATCCAGAAGTAGGAGAGTGAGAGCTGAGAAAGCATTCCAGGCACCGGATAGGCAGGGCTGGGGTATCAGTGGGAAGGCTGGCGTAGCGGGGCGGGGACGGGGGCCAGATAAATGGGAGGCCCAGGCTAAGGTCAGATAACAGGGCCTTCGGTGCCAGATTAACGTGCTGCCCAAGGGGCGCCCGGGGGGTTCAGTCCGTTGAGCGTCCGACTTCGGCTCAGGTCACGATCTCACGGTTCGTGGGTTCGAGCCCCGTGTCGGGCTCTGTGCTGACAGCTCAGAGCCTGGAGCTGCTTCAGATTCTGTGTCTCCCTCTCTCTCTGCCCCTCCCCTGCTCACGCTGTCTCTCTCCCTCTCAAAAATAAACATTAAAAAAAGTTTTAATGTGTTGCCCAAAAGGAGGGAAGGACACAACCATGTCTCCACCGCCTCCAGGTCTGACCAGACTCATCTGTCTCCTAGTGACTAATCTTATCCATTATTTGTGTTTTTACGGACTTAAATGTCAGAGGGCAACCTGATTTGCAAGCTCATTGCCCATTTCCCCACCCCCCACCCAACCCACAGGGATTTTTCCGCCGAGCTAATTTCTGTGCCCACTTAATTTCACCTACTCTGCTCCTTCCTCCAGGAAGCCCGCCCTGGTGCACCAGGCAGGATCTTCCTCACCTTCCTCTGGATTCCCAAGCACCTGCTGGTGCCTTGATTCACCCCCTGCATGGCGGTCCCGGGATTAGCGGGTGGTGTGCACCCCTGGCTTCCCACCAGGCAGCCCTGTGAGCTGCTCCGGAACCCCTCGGGAGACGGGAGCTCATCCAAACTGATGCACATCAGAGCTGTTGGTAGTGTCAGAAGCCCAGGGCTCTTTGGCCTCAGTGTGCCCATCTGTACAGCGAGTGGGTGAACTATGACAAAGGCTAATGTTTGTTGCGCGTCCAGGTGCTGGAAACTTGTAGGGACGATGCCCCTTAACCTTCAAAACGCTGCAAAGAGGATAGTACCTGCTAGTGTCCCCGTCTCCCGGATGAGGACATTGAGGCACAGAAGGAGAGGCGTCAGAGCTGGGACCTGCCCGGTGCTGAGCCCCTCCGCACCCCGCTGAACGACTTGGCCTCGGACCCCCCCGGACACTGCTCCCCTCTCACCAGCACCCCACCCGCCCCGGTGGAAGGCGGCGCCCCGGCCTTCTGGGCTCTCCCCTGCCTCGCAGGACCCTCAGAGGAACGTGCTCGGTGTGCCCCCACCGTGCCCCCGCCGTGCCCCCCAGCCGTGCCCCCCAGCCGGAGGCTACTCACAGGAGGCTGAGGACAATGGCACCGGCAAAGGTGACGAGCAGGAAGAAGGGCAGGGAGCCCAGGATGGACGTGATGACGATCATGCCCCCACTCCGCCGGCCCGGCCACGTGTCGATCGCTGAGTAGGGGGTGACTGACAGAACACGGACCCGCTCACCCCCCACACTGCGCCCCTCAGCCTTCCCCCAGGGACACGCAGGGCACCCCCCAACCGCGGCCTGGCAGCCGCAGACCTCAGGACGATGAATCAGGGGCCCGGGTCAGTGTCTGTCTCCCCCCAAGTCTGTTTGCCCCCCACCCACTTCCCAACTACCTCATGTGCCTCGGCTCTTCCTCCTGTCTTTCTGCATCATTGTATTTTTTTAAATGTTTATTTTTTTAAGCTTTTTATTTATTTCTGAGAGAGAGAGAGAGCTGGGGAAGGTCAGAGAGAGAGGGAGACACAGAATCTGAAGCAGGCTCCAGGCTCCGAGCTGTCAGCACAGAGCCTGACGTGGGGCTCGAACCCATGAACCGTGAGATCATGACCTGAGCCGAAGTCGGAGGCTTAACCGACGAGCCACCCAGGCGCCCCAAATGTTTATTTATTTTTTAGAGAGAGAGAGAGACAGCATGAGAGGGAGAGGGGCAGAGAGAGGGGGAGACAGAAGATCCCAAGCAGGCTCTGAGCCGTCAGCACAGAGCCCCACATGAGGCTCGAACCCATGAACCGTGAGATCATGACCTGAGCCAAAGTCTGACACTTACCTAACTGACTGAGCCACCCAGGCGCCCCTGTCCTTTTGCATAATTTTAAATTACAAACTAATTCAACTCTTCTGGTGAATTGGATGGGATACGGATTATCTGCAATTAAAGATGCAGGGGCACCTGGGTGGCTCAGTCAGTTAAGCATCTGACTTCGGCTCAGGTCATCATCTCATGGTTCATGAGTTCGGGCCCCACGTCGGGCTCTGTGCTGACAGCTCAGAGCCTGGAGCCTGCTTTCTATTCTGTGTCTCCCTCTCTCTCTGCCCCTCCCCCACTCATGCACTCTCTCTTTCTCTCTCAAAAATAAATTAAAAAACATTGAAAAAAATTTTTTTTAAAGATGAGGCAAAGGGCCCTGGTCTAACGGAGCCAGCTGCACCGTGGCCACCCCTCTACCGAAGTCACCCTCTTAGAACTCAGTGAACAATTTATAGGTCCTACTGTGAGCCAGCTGCTTGCTGCCCATTGTCCCCTACATGGCCATGAGACGCCCATTCTGCAGATCGCGGCTTGCAGCTTAGGGAGATTGAGTTCCTGTTCAAGGGCACTTAGACTCCAGGCTCAAGTCCACGTACGGGTCTGTCTAGTCCCAAAATGCAGTCTTCCCACAAACCGACCTCAGGCCTCGCCCCAAAAGAACTGGGCTGAGTGCTTTTGTCTGGATGATTCAAAGGAATCCTGCTGAGGAGGCAGAGCAAGGAGTTTTCCTCCCACTTCTCAGATGTGGAAACTGAGGTTCTGAAGGGTTCACACGGCAGTGAGGAGTGGAGGCTGGGCTTGAACTCAGGACTCTTGGTCCCAAGGCAGCGCTGTTGGGGTGTGGGGGGAGGGCGCACAGTGCGTGGGCAGGCGGGGAGCCACATGCACTCGCGCCTTGCCCGTCTACACTCCTCACTAGCCGTGTGACCTCAAGCTACCTTTCAGAGCTATTGCGTGCCCCATAAGCCTACAGTGGGGGTGGGATGAGGGAACAGACAGAAGGTTCTACAGGTAAAGTTCTCGGCTCTGTGCTGGGCTCAGCGTAGCATGAAGTCTCTTCTTGGAGGCCAAGGTGTGGCGGAGGGGCCCTGCAGCTAGGGTCAGGTGTCGTCACGATGACCCTTGGAGACCTCTCCCGTTGCCCTCAGGTTTAGCAGGCAGGATTCTGTGCGTAAACCTCGGATGCGTCCTGAGAACCCGGGTAGAGGATTGAGGAGGGACCGAGCAGGGATGGGGCTGGACAGTGGGCAGCAGTCCTGGCTCCTCCCAGGCTGCCCCCCCCCCGCCCCCACTGCCAGTCTCCGCGCGAGTCTTAGCCTCCAGCCATCTACGTGGTGATGACATTTGTGGCTGTAAGGACTCAACACGTGCAAGGACCCAACACGTGCGGGTTTGGGATGGAAATGCAGGACAAACACCATGGCCCTTGGAGGCAAATGCCTCCACCTCAGTCACGCCACCAAACCCTCCACCTGCCGCAGGGAAGGGGGAGGGGACGTGTCAGGGTAAACCACTTCAAGGTGCATGTAAACCACTTCAAGGTGCATCTTCTGAGATGCCTGGATGGCTCAGTTGGCTAAGCCTCCGACTTCGGCTCAGGTCATGATCTCACGGTTCAGGAGTTCGAGCCCCTCATCGGGCTCTGTGCTGACAGCTCAGAGCCTGGAGCTGCTTCAGATTCTGTGTCTCCCTCTCTCTCTGCCCCTCCCCCGTTTACACTCTGTCTCTCTCTCTCAAAAAAAAAATTAAGAAATATTTTTAAAAGATGCATTTTTCTCATCAACCCAATCGCCCGCCTACATCCAGGGAGACTTTTCCGCGTGACGGACTGAGTCTGCTTTCCCGGGTTCCCCCAAGGGCAACTCCCCACCCATCCCCCTCTACTTACGCCTGTTGGTGCAGACGGGGTCGGACCATAGGGTCTGGTCCTGAACCAAGCCTGTGGACATGTTGACGAGGACGTACTTGAACCTGGAAGGAGACGGAGCCAAGAGTGACTTCTACTCATCCTGTGCCCCCGGCCGCGGGCAGGTGGGAGGCGTGGGGGGTGGGCAGGTGTAGGGGACGGACGGGTTACTTCTAAGAGGTGGGAATCTAGGCGGCCACAGGGTGGGCTCTGGGTTCTGGGCAACGGACAGCGCTGGACTTGGCTTTGGCGCCATCGGCCCATATTCCTGCCCCTGGACTCTTTCCAGGAAGCCCTCGGGAAGGGATCCATGGCCCCCCGTCAGCTCTCCCTCTGGGACCCCCCCCACACACACCATTTCTTGATTATCTATATGAGGAGTGTAGCATACTGGCTGAGTACCAACCCATTTGTTCTGGTAGGATTTTTGTCTTCCACTATTCCCAACCTGGTCCTTGGTACCACAAAAGAGACTTTAAAATAAAAAAAAAAAAAAAGGAATAATATTCATTCCCAACCCAACTTTCCTGGGACAGGGCTGTACTTTTATGTAGTAAACCCCAACTAAGTGTATCTAATCATAAATTAATATTAGCACAAAATATCCAGAGCCTGTTGAAGGTCTCATACACGGTCAGTTTCAAACAGTGGATATTCTGAGAAGCAAAAAATCAACAGCCTCTAGTTTAACACTTAAAAAAAAAAAGACCCTTAAAATCTCTACAGCATCCAGTGTGTTGCCTAATCTCCTATTTCTTTAGGTGGAAGAGGAGAATTCCAGAAGCCGGGATTCTGTGCCTCGTGTCCCCCAGGTAGGAGGTGTGGGGATCTAGGAAGAGGAAGGGGTTTTCCCACGTGAAGAACAAGGTCAGAGGTAAGAGGTCGAGCGTGGGGAAGGGGAGACTAAGGCTCTTGTCCTGCCCAAGGGCTGAAACCAAAGCAAGGAGAAGGCCTCCGACCGGAAGGCAGGCAATTGATGGTCTCGGCCCCGCGTGGGCCTGGATGGTACAGAGACTTCAGCCTAGGCGTTTCCATGGTAACGGGAGTGGGTGGACCCGAGGCTTTGGCACCAGGCGAGACCCCGTGGCCATGGATGAGAGCTGAGCCCCCAGCTCTGCACAGAGATGGTGCTCGGGAAATATACGTGGACACGAATCAGGGACCGCTATGGTGCAGAGAGGGGGACGCAGGCAGATGTGCCAGAAGAAGGCAGACGATGAGGTTTGGAAAAACCTTCAGTGGGGCTCTAGTTCATATGGGACCATTGCTTCTCACGAGGTGACCCCCTTCCCTCTCTGGACCAGTTTCCTCCCCTGTGGATGAAGTGGATTGGGTAGGAAGGGCCACATAGGTGATGAGCCGGGACCCGGTGCATAATTTGTGGAGCCTGGTGTGAAATAAAAATTCAGGCTCCTTATTTAAAAATTAAGAATTCCAATGCAGTGCCTGGGTGGCTCAGTCGGTTAAATGCTCGACTGCGGCTCAGGTCATGATCTCACGGCCAGTGAGTTCAAGCCCCGCGTCGGACTCTGTGCTGACAGCTTGGAGCCTGGAGCCTGTTTCTGATTCTGTGTCTCCCTCTCTCTGCCCCTCCCCCACTTGTGCTGTTTCTTTTTGTCTCTCAAAAATAAATAAATGTTAAAAATTTTTAAATAATAAATGTTAAAAAAAAGATTTAAAAAAATAAAAGAATTTCAAGGTGACAATGGCAGAGAATTAAGCCAAGCCGGGGTCCTCGTGAGTGCATGAGGCCCTGGCGTGGTCGCACACCCGGAAGCAGACCCTTCAGGAGCCCTGTGACAGTTCTGGCTCGAGAAAGGTGGCCCTTCCTGGCCTTCCTGAGTCAGGGCTGGGGCATGACTGTCGCTCACGCACCTGTACTCCGTGGCCCCCGACAGGGGCGGGTTGCAGAGGCCGTGGAAGTTGGGATCTGACAGGCAGGTGACATTGGCGCCCACCCTGATGAGGTAGGCATCCAGGATTTCCGAGGCCCGGGCCACATCCCCTACAGCATCCAAGCTGGGCAGGTCACCACAGGGGATGAGGTCAAAGGCCGCTGCTTTATAGGGGCCTGTCCTTCCCCCCTCGGTTTGCTGGAAGGTGGAGCTCAGCGGGGCCTTGGTGGCATCCTGCACGGAGGCGTTCCTAGAGCTGGCTGCAGAGACAAGGTCGGGGGTGAGAGGCCTGGCCACCCCGGCTCAAAGTCACTCAGTCAGCCATTCACCCAATACCTGCGGACAGCTTCTCGGAGCCCGTGCTGTGCTGGGCCTGGGCTCCCAGGCTGAAGTAGGTTCAGGCCCTGCTTCGAGGGCTCCCTGTGCAATGGAGGGGCAGGGCTCCCGGCTCCCACCCACCTCCTCTTCCCACAGCCCCTCCCCACCCAGCAGACTTCGGTCATTTTCCCTGCCTGAGAGCACTGGGTCTTCCGTGAAATGAGAAAGGAGGGTCCTGTGGTTGGGCGGGGGGGGGGGGGGGGGGGGGGGGGGGGGGGGGAGTAGTGTGGATGCAGACAGATCTGCATTGGGTCCTAGCTCCCTTCTTCCTCGCTGGGTGACTTTGGACGACCCTCCTTTACTTCTCTGGCCCCTGGTCTGTGAAATGGGAGAGAATGCCCCCTGCGTGTGCACAGATTGGGCACAGGTAGGCAGTCAGGACATGTTGGCTGAAAGAATAAAATGATGGCTCTGAATGGGCTGCCAGAAATGTAAGAGGTTGTCACTGGGTTCCTTCGATCAGAAGCCGGGATCGCTCCGGTGAAAGGGGAGGGTGGGGCCAGAGCACGTGGGTCCAAATGCACGGTTTCCCTGCAAACCCCAATCACGAACCACCCTGGGCGCCTGGGGAAGGGCTGGGGTCTGAGCCACCACGGTGATCTGGGTTCGCCTTCCGACCTGGGGGCTCCCATGAGTTATTCCATGTCTGTGAGCCTCGCTTCCTTGCTGTGTGATGGGCATCCCGACAGCCGTCGTGCAGGCCAGTCGTAAACATTAGCTCTAAGGTATGCGCAGTGCCCAGCATGACGCAGGTGCTCAGTGACTGGTGCTGCCTTTATCTCTCCGCCAGACAGGATGTCCCTCTCGGGGACGAGTCCGTACGTGTGGCTGCAGCTCCCCGCCCACGGCTGGCACACAGCCCACTCGGGTGTGTGCCAGTGAGGGGCATGGGGGTGGTTGCATTACGGTGCTAAACCTGCCTCCTGTCCCCCTCCCTGCAGACAGGTCAGAGCCCCTTTCGGTGCCGCCCGGGGAAGAAGAAGCTTTACCTAAGTCGACTAGGACATAGAGGTAGACCTCACAGGGGCCATCAAGGGCCGCCGAGCTGTCGAACATGCAGAGAGGCTTTTCCAAGGCCACGGTGGTGAGGGTGGGGTTGTTGGTGGCAAAGGTCACGCTGGCCAGCTGGGGCTGGAGGTTCACACCTAGAGGAGGCAGTGAGGGCAGGAGCTGACCCCCCGTAGAAGTGCCCACACCCCCTGGGCACACTGCCCCCCATCCCATGTCTGCATTCGGTTACTGAGCACCTGGAGTGCGCCAGGCACTGGGGTCCCCCTCCCCAAGGGTCATCTAAGGAACTGGTCTCAGACACAGGCAGCACCCCTGCCCCCACGAGCCCCCTCTTATGAGACAAGCAGTCCAGCCCACTGCTCCCCGTCTCTGTTCAGCCTCTCCTACGCATCTGTTCATGAACTCAGCGCAGTCGGGCGGTTCGGCTGTCTTCACGTGGACCCCAGAAACAAGCCCTTCCCCCATCCTCTGCTCTCTAGCATGCAAATCTGACCCTGTCTCTCTCCTAGGCCCCTTCCCAGGCTCCCCACTGCTTCTGAAGGTACTCCAGCACAGCACAGCCCCTCTGAAGGGGCAAAGAGTCCTGAGGTTCTGGGCTTTGCTTCCTTGGTCTGCAGCCTCTCCCCAAAGCACGGCCCCCACCCCACCCCATCCCATGCTCCAGCCTCGCTGCGGTCGGGAGGGTCCCAGGATAGACCTCCCTCCTTTAACTGGCCCTGGCTGCGCCTTCCCCTGAAATGCCCCTCCACCGCCTCCAGTCCAGGCCTCTCCAGGGTCTAGTCCAGCCCCTCTCTGCTCTCCCACAGCCCCCCGTGCGTCACTCACAGCCCCCATCAGAGGGCTCTGTGATCCCTGAGCCCTGCAATCGCACCCGAGGGCTTGGCACAGAGCAGCCAGGCATGCCCATTCCTGGAGCCAAGTCCCCCGGTCGCAACGGTCCTTTCCATCCAGGCCCGTGCGAGGACCGTGGGAGGGTCGGGGCCCAGGTCACAGCGGCCCGCCCTCCCGAGGCTCGGCGCCTTCTCCCCTTCCGCGCTCACCCAAGCCGAGCCGCAGGCCGCCGAGGGCGAGCAGGGCCCAGAGCGGGGCCATGGCCTTGGACCCGCCGCGGGAGGAGGAGGCGGGCGGTCCCGGGGCCACCGTGCCTCTCCGGGTCCGCGCACCCGGCGGCTGGACCCCGCTGCGGCGCGCCCCGCCCCCGCCGGCGCCGGCCAATCCCCGGCCTCCCCGCGAGATATTTGCATACGCCCCGCCCCGGCCGCCCAGACCTCTGGATCCCCGGGCACAGACCCGCCCCGCGGGACCTTCCCCAAGCCCCCAGCGAAGCGCCTACTGTGTGCAGGAGCTGGGCGGCGCTTTCACAGCGCCCCTTCCCTCATCAGACCTCCGGGGACAAGACATCGCCCCTAGGAGCCTCGGCTTCCACACTGTGAAATGGGCCGCTGACTCCTGCAGCTACTTACGGAGACCTACTAAGTGCCAGATACTCTCTGCGCTCCTGTGAAGATGAAACAGGCTAGTCGGAAAAAGCGCTGCCATGGAGACCCTGAGGTCCCGGGGCCTGTGAGCCATCCCGAGACCCCGGTGTGACCCTTGGGGGACGGCCAGGGACACTCCAGGGACGCACAGAAAGTCTCGGAAACGCACACACTGGCAGAACACAGTACCTCCCCCTAGAAATTTCAAAAGTACGACACAGGGGTTTAAGGCCTGCTTCCCAGGGGAGCGTTGGAAAATACTGATGGACTAGATGGTTCCTGCCAGCATCAGGAATCTCCAAGAGTGCCTGAAATATTATATTTTACATATAAGAAATGAGTAAGCCGGTGGGGGGCGGGGATTGGAAACTTAACAGAAAATAAGGAGTCGAGGTATAGCATGAACGACATAACCCTGTGCAGAAAACTACTGAGAGGCTTGACAAGGCTTCTCTGACTACTCCCTTGCAGGGAGCCCGGTGAGGGCAGAGAGAGCTCTAGACCAACCCCGGACCACAGCAGTGAAGTAGGGGTGAGGAGGGCAGAGCAGTTCTGCAGCCACTTTGGTGTTCCCCAGAACTGGTGTCAGGACCTAGGTCCTCAATACAGGATGAGGAAGATTTGGAAGGGGGAAGGAGAACTTATGGAGTTTTGAATTCGCAGTATTGTTATGAGAAAAATAGCAACTCCTTAGCTCTGTCTACTCAAAGGGCCTGGCAGCACTCGCTCCCAAGGGGCAAGGGGCCCACTTAGCACTCTGGGTCCTGAAAAAGCACTCCCCAGTGAAAGGCACCAGGGCCCCTGGGAGAGATCATATCTCCCGGGCTGGACAGAGACTGTCAGAAGGAGCCTAGAAACTAAAGAAGTACTGGAAGACGATGGGGCTATGTCCAAAGTGCTGGCACAGAAGGGACTTGAAGGGTCGAGGTGGAAAGTTTGCTAATAGAAGTGACATCTAGCCCATTGGATGAAACACTGGCACTTTAAACAATGTTGTAAAAGAGGGCGCCTGGGTGGCTCAGTCGGTTGAGCACCTGACTCTTGGTTTCAGCTCAGGTCATGATCTTGTGGTTCTTGTTCAAGCCCTGCATTGGTCTCTGTGCTGACAGCGTGGAGCCTGCTTAGTATTGTGTTTCCGTTTCTCTCTGCCCGCCCCCCCTGCTCTCTCTCTCTCTCAAGACAAATACATTTTTTTTAAATGTAAAATAAAAAGTTAAAAAAAATGTTGCAAAAGAGAAGAGAGCATTTTTCTTCGGAGAACACCAATTCATAAAGGTACAAAGAATGACAAACCCAAAATCACCGTTTTGCAAACATCTTGGTGATAACTGATTTCAAGAATCATCTCAATGAATGTTAAAACCATAGATGAAAGATTTTGTTAAAATTTTTTAATGTTTATTTATTTTTGAGAGAGATACAGAGTGTGAGTGGAAGAGGGGCAGAGAGAGAGGGAGACACAGAATCTGAAGCAGCTCCAGGCTGTGATCTGTCAGCACAGAGCCTGACGCGTGGCTCGAACCCATGAACTGTGAGATTATGACCTGAGCCGAAGTCGGATGCTTAACCGACTGAGCCCCCCAGGCGCCCCATAGATGAAAGATTTTTTAAGGAACGAGATATGCAGGATCTGGGGACATTGACTTAGGGAAGTGATCAGATATAAGGTAACCTATAATGGGTGGACTGACTTCATGTGCTTCCTGGAGTCATGCCTCTGAGAGTCATGGCTCAGGACCATCTCTGCAGAGCTCCCGTCCCAAAAGTCTAACCTAAATCAGATCAAGAGAAACAACTGGACAAATTGAGGGACTTTCTGCAAACCAGCTGGCCTGGGTGTTTTGAAAATGTGAATGTCGGCGAAGGCAGAGGCAAACACAACACAAAACAAGAGGCCGGGAACATAACATATGCAGGAGACATAACTACTAGGGCCCTTGTGACCCTTGATTAACTCCTGGGTGGAAACTACCTACAATGAGCCCTCTGACAGCAAGTAGGACAATGAGGGGAATCCAGATTATGGAATGTGTATTGGAAAATAATCTGAGTTAGGTGTCCCGTTTCCAGAATGCAGTCACAGTGTCGCAGTCACGTGGAAGGAGATGCATGCCGGACGATATCACCACATCTGAAACGAGAGCAGATACATAAGGGACAGAGAGAGAGAGTGAGAAAGCACATGTCACAGAATGTTAATATTTGGTAAAAATTATGGATATTCATTGTGTTGTTCTTGAAATGTGTCTATAGATTTGAAATTTGTCCAAGTAAAGATGTGTTTAAAAACCAAACATGCCGACTCTCTGAGCCTCACTTTCCCCTCTGTGAAATGGGCAGAAGACACATTGCCCGGAGCCCTGACATGCTGAGTGGATGATCAGATCCTTATCTTGGGGACAGAAAGTGACAGAATGTCTCTGCCCCAGAGATAGGGATCTTTTGGGCAAGGCCCTGCGGGGGGGGTGGGGGGATGTCTCCTAAGAGATCTCCAAGAGTTTTTACAGGCTGACATTTCTTGTCCGACGATTGTTTGTGTCCCTGGACTTGAACGTGACCTGGCTGAGTCGTCCGTGAAGGCTCAGCCCAGAATGGCCCACGAGAGGGATAAGATCCAGGCACCCCTGGTCTTCTCCCAGACCCTGAAGTTTCTCATGAAAAAACAGTAAAGTCCTCCTGTCTCTGTCTTGCCCAAATATGGCAAGAACATCTGGGGAAAAGAGTTAAAATAATAATCGGCTAAGGCCTCAAAACATTCTGGAAAAAAAAAAACAAGTCTTGAGTTCATAAACAAGCCTCCACTTCAAAGATGCTGACTTTTGTTTGGTGAATTCCGAAGAGGGACAAGTACAGAGGAGGGGGGTCATCGCGACACATTCGCCTGCAGCCGCCATGCTGGTCGCAGAGGGAACGGGGTGGGGGGCCCGGAGGCCCTGACAGGGGGTTCCTGTGCTCAACGGCCCCGGGGTGCGCAGTCCAAAACCGCTTTTGCCCCCCCAAAATATATATTTTTTTAAACTTTCCCTGCTTGATCCCGAGCCTTCAGTCTGACTTCACATCTGCCTGCGCGCCTCGGTGCATCGGGCCACCTTTGTGAACCCTGGCCCAGACGACGCGCTTGTCAGGAAGCCACGGAGCAGGAAGCGCTGGGATGTGAAAGGTTATGCAAACCCCCGCCCTGCACAGATCTCCTTTGAATCTGAAACGTGGGGAATTTACGGGTTGGAAATTCTTGACCCAGACATGTTTCTTCAAGCACCAGAGAGGCCTGGGCCTCCGGTTTCCTTGACTGTTTTCTTCAGAAGTCAGAGAAGTCGCTGGTAATCCTCAGCGCAGCAAGCTCTGGCCTTCGGTGTGCGCCACACCTGAGACGTCCTGAAGCCAAGCTTTCCAACGTGCTGAGACCAAGGCACTTTATTTCTTTTTTTTAATGTTTCTTTATTTTTTTAATGTTTGTTTATTTTTGAGAGAGAGAGAGAGAGAGAGAGAGAGAGAGAGAATCTGAAGCAGCTCCAGGCTCTGAGCTGTCAGCACAGAGCCCGACGCGGGGCTCGAACCCACAAACCATGAGACCATGACCTGAGCCAAAGTCATACTCTTAACCAACTGAGCCACCCAGGCGCCCCTAGATCCAGTCACTTTAAAACGAAATGAAATGAAATGTAAGTAAGGTAACCTGAGCCTGGGGAGCTGGCCCATCCACCCCCAGCTGCAGGCTGTTTCCAGAAGCTCCCGCCTCTCTCCCAGGCTGCAGCCACCTCTCCTGCACAGCGCGCCCACCCTGGTGGCCCCGGAGGCCCCTGCCCCTTTCCAAAGCCTTCGTTTCTTTCTCGGTAAATGTGGGGTCTCAAGGTGCCCCTCGCAGAGCAGAGGCATGAAGTGCTTGCTCTGTGGCTGGGGGCTGGGCGGTGTTGGAGATTAGAGACCTCGTCTCCCTCGGGCCAGCCCCCTCAGATTTATCCTGCCTTCTCCCGGCTGAGCTCAGTCCCCACTTCGGGGTCCTGTCCTGCTGAATCCAACCGCATTCAACAGATAACGAGGGCCTACTGTGTGCTGGGCACACTCGTCCCCCTCCCCCAAGTGACTCATGTTCGTGTCTTCCTGTCCGGTCCTGCTAAGGGCTTAAGCCTTAGAAACCTTGTTTCTCGGGGCGCCTGGGTGGCTTAGTCGGTTAAGCGTCCGACTTTCGCTTGGGTCATGATCTTGCGGTTCGTGGGTTCGAGCCCCGCGTCGGGCTCTGTGCTGACGGCCAGCTCAGAGCCTGGAGCCTGTTTCAGTCTGTGTCTCCCTCTCTCTCTGACCCTCCCCTGCTCACGCTGTCTCTCTCTCTCTCTCTCTCTCTCTCCTAGAAATAAATAAAACATTAAACAATTTTTAAAAAGAAAAAAAGAAACCTGTTTCTCACGGTTCCGGAGGCAGGAAGTCTGAGATCAGAGTGTGGGCAGATTTGGTTCCTTATGAGCGCCCCCCTCCCCCCCGCCCAGACCCCCCTCCCCCCCGCCCAGACCCCC